TCAGAAACATATTAGAGGCAGAAACAAAAGTTAAGAGGAGTAGAGGTAGATATAGATTAGATTACTGTTTGCAAATAGTTAGGGATGTGGGTTGTTCTAGTTTTGGGGAAATGCGAAGATTAGCTGAGCATAGGAAAAAGTAAATGTGCGTATACAACCAGTCTTACGATTGACGCCCTTACAATGATGATGATGATGATCTGGAATAAGAAATAGAGCAGATATTAAAATGTTTTACTCTCGAGTGAAAATGAATCAGCGAATTTTCATTAATTTTGAGTGAATATTTACATATCATTACAGCAATACAGTGAATGTTTGTCATTTTGAGGCAAACAGTACTACCATTTTTCATAAATTAGGCATAAAAAATTAATACCTCTGTTATGAAATAACATAAACTGCGCTAATATGCTTTCAAAATTTAATTCCATCATAATCAAAACATAAACTCGGACCAACTTTAACCCCCTTGTGCACCACAGTTGCCAAGACACAGTCAGTTTAACCTTGATAAATATATTTTTAAAGGTTTTTTTTTATTACACGATTTTTTTCATGCAATGAGCTGTCTATATGGGTATCTACAGCTCTAAAGGAAAATGCGTAATCGTAAGAAGCCTACGTGTTCTTCCTTTTGTAAATTTATACACACGCGTACAAGGACTCATAAATTATGCTCTCGCACTGTAAGAACACATGCCAAAGCAAAGGATGTTTAAAATTAATTAACAGTTCGTTGTCAGTGACGTTGCCACCTTAGCTTGACGGTGGCTGGTTTGATAAATGAGAGTGCGGCACGTTTGCCAGCGGGGTTTCAAGCTATTCGCCGCTCATGTCTTGAGACTTATATTATTCGTGCAGCGACGATTGAACTACATACTTATTATAACACTTTATACTTGCACATACAATTGGTTATGCTGTACATCGCAGGCGTAATCAGCGACGGTATCATACGCCTCGCGTATCGGATATATCGGCTACCCTTAGGCTAGAAGTTCTTCGCAACTGGGAAAGCTTAAATTAATGGTTCCGTATAAAATGTTGAAATCAGGTTCAATGTAGATACTAATTTGCTTCCTTGTCAAATTGGGTTATGATTATTTATCGATAGTTATGTTTGGAGCACGGCGCTGTACGGGTGTGAAACATGGACAGTGGGCGCGGCGGAAAAAAAAAGGTCAGAAGCGTTCGAAATGTGATGTTACAGGCTGAGGATACTGTGGATAAAGTAGGTTAGAAATGAAGAGGTATTAGAAAAAATAGGAGAACAGAGGACTCTATGGAAGTCAATAAAGAATAGGCGAGATAGGTTGGTAGGACACCTTCTCAGGCATGAAGGTATAGTCAGAGACATATTAAAGGCAGAAACAGGAGTTAGGAGGGGTAGAGGTAGACCTAGATTAGATTACTGTTCGCAAATAGTTAAGGATGTGGTTTGTTCTAGTTTTGGGGAAATGCGAAGATTAACTCAGGATAGGAAGGAATGAAGGTGCGTGTCCAACCAGTCTTAAGACTGACGACCTTATGATAATGTAGGTGTTTTGTGAGTAAAAGCGTATTCAAGAGATTGAGAAGGTAAAGAAAATTGTTTTGCGAAGTAGAATAACAAAAACCACTGATGCTTTTAATATCATGCCTCAGTTTAACCTCTGAAAAGTTTATTTTTACAACTATTGAGTTTTTGTGTATATGTATATATTTGATAATCGTAATTTTTTTAGATGTAGTTATGGGTCAGTTCGTTCGCATGTCTTTTGTTTGAAGGTGGACGGACCTCGAGTCAAGACGTCATTGAGACGCAGTCTATCATTGTACCCTTTTGTTTAAAGGACAGATAGGAAGATGACAGCGGTAAACTGGATTAGTAAATCATTAGAGTGATCCCGGAAGGATCATATTATATATCTGTCAACGTTCAGACTTTATAGAGTAGTTATAAGGTTTGATGTTATTGGACTATTTGAATGTTTTTGTTAGGATAAGTTTAAATTCTATTGACTAGGGGTTAGATCGGGAGATAGCTCCGACAACGATTTGCAATTTGTATGTTCAATGAATAATTTGTGTTATTTATGTTAGATCAAGTACATAATTAAATTTCAATTCAAATTTACAGTAGTCATTGGTTGCCGATTTTTATCGTAGAAGCGTTAATTTTTTGTTGATTGTGGTTCAAGCTCTCTGTGTCAAAAAGGCATCTTTGCATAAGAAAGTAACGAACCGATGGAATGACTGGATCACTCGTTAGTTCAAATCGCTTTTTGATAATCTCAATCCTTAATCCGCTCGTTTTCTCTCGTTGTACGGTAAAAGGAAATTCACATTTTCAAAATCCAATTAATCGAAGTTGCAGACAATCCCGTTTCAATCTCACACGTCAAAAAAGGAGAGAGCTCCATATTCATCGGAGCATTAGGGCACAGTTTCAGTGAAATTGCAGCGGATTTGAATTAATTTCGACCGGGAGTCAAATTAAAGCAGCGAAGCAATTCGTATCCTTTATATTCCCTATTCTGTCCGTGACAGTCGACGGGAACGGCACGAAACGATGCAAACGAAGGTGGCCTAGGAAGAAAGCGACCGACTACGACGTGGACTCGACTTACTTCATTTCCATGCAAATTGAAACATTTGTACTCGAATAAAGAATCAGCAGAAACTATTGGAAACCATCGCTGTCGGAAAGTGCATTAAAATGAAGCTCTGAGACCGCCAACGGGGACCGTAGGAATGGATAAGAGCCGACGAAGTCGAATCGTTTTCAACATTTATTTGTAATAATTCACTTCTTGTAAATTACGTTCCTGCATAATATTGTATGTTTAGCAAGTCACGACAGAACCCTACTCTAGGAGAATTATGGGTCAGTATCTACAAGAAAATATCGAAAATGTTTAATTTAATACAGTCCACCACGTAATTTATAGCACTAAAGGGTGGGACTGTTCTCTCCTAGTCGTCGTCGCTAACTATCAAAGGATAAGTGATGGACACATAAGCGGTTGTGATTCTTCAAACTTAAATTTGTGATAAAGCGCTAATAAAAATGGCAAATAGTAGGACTAATGTTTTACTGTTTCGGCAGATTTTGGACTTGCTATCTTAACTATTTTATGTAAACCCTTTAAGTAAGTGAAAATGGGGAAAGAAACATTTTTCTTTTGTTTTCGTGGAAGAGGGAAATCTTCGAAAGACACCCAGTCGTCCATACGATAGGATTTCCGAGGGAGAAGTCCTCGAACCTACCGTTTAAAACCCCTCTACCTCAGGCCATTATAGGTTCAATTAAGGTCCTTGAACTTAATTTATTAACAAATTAGTACAAGTACAACAATTGCAATAGAAATGGTGATCGTCTAAATGGTCAGTAGTTATCTGGTTACTCAACTTCAAATAACTCACAACTCAGTCCAAAATAAAACCACAAAGTAAACGAATGAAATTCGCCCTGTAACTGCTAGACTGCTTACTATCCGGCTCGAAGGACCAATGTTTAATGTTGGATGAATTTTTGTGAACAACCCTACATTAAACAGTCCTCTTAAGCCGATAGTGGTTATTAATCTTGAGATTGTTTTTTTTGTAAATTAACTATATATATAGGTAGTCGAGGAATTCATGACGAAGGTCAGGGGTGGTTGCCAATAATTTGGCAGGGGGAAAGGGGATTTTATTTTTAATGAAGTTGGTTTGTAAGGTGTTTATGCGTGTGAGAAGTGGTGTGATTTCAGTGTTGTCGTATATTGTGTCGGAAGAAGAAAAAAAAACATTGGGCAGTGTGTATAAGTACGAATCTAATACCCACCGTTCCCAAAATTATAATATAACCCTGTGACTTGTACGAATATATCAGACAATAACTTCAAACTTGAAAAGCATATAGATATATGTGTGCTTGTCCATTTGGTGAAGCTGTTTATAAGGAAAGGGGTTGTCTCTGTTACCCTCATTAACGAAAATACCAACAATGAAATTGCTTTGCTCGGCTTCGAAACTGCTTATTAGTTTACCTCCACCTAATTGGGTTGGCCGTTAGGATTACTTAGTTACAGTTTGTTGATTTTGTGTGCTGTTAGACGTACTTTGTTTCGCATTATTGGAACCGGGATCGCTTCACCATATTATACGCGAGCGGGGTTCGTTGACCAAACAAACTCTCCAAATTTGAATATAAGCCCTAAAATATCCGCTGCGGAGTATATAACTGCTTTAAACCAACCCACCACTGCAACCATCAAATGTTATCTGACAGATGTATATTTATTATAATTACCTATGAAACTCGCTCTTACCCTAGAAAAAAATTTTCTCAGAGTCTTTCAGCGTCTCTGAGAGCGTCTCTCACAGTCTTTCACAGTCTCTCAGTTATTGCCTAGGTGTTTTTATGGATCTCTCACAGTTTGTGCATGAGAGACTCGAACGATAAAATTGTTAATTCAGAGATTCGAGTCTCTCACAGAGAGACTGAATGAATAAAACTGAAAAATTGAGATTCGAGTTTCTCGTAAAAAGACTGGATTCTCTGAAATATGTTGAACTTAGAAAATTTTAACCATGTCTATGGAGACACCACTTATTGAGAGATTCGAATCTCTCGTTCAGAGACCGGATACGAAATGAGGATCTCTTTATGAGCGACTCGAGTCTTTCGTTCAGAGACGCTAAACAGTTTTTCTGACAGTCTCTCTCAGCGACACCAGAGAGACTCGATGAGTGACGGAGACTCGAGTCTCGCTTTCAGAGACTCTGAGAGACTGAACATTTTCAAAATCAAAACAAAAACAAAAATCTTACCACCAAAATATTTTCCCTAAGAGCAATATTACTACTTACTTAATTCAGGTCATACATTATATTAATTTCTATTGATATATTATTATAAAGGAAACAAATTGTGCACGTATTTTATGAAAGTTGCAAATTTTTGTAATCATGCAATTCATCTGTTGAATTTAAGATAGAGATAAGTTGACAAAAACTCTGTTTAATTTCAGATGGTAACCCGGACGAAAAAAATATTTGTTGGAGGTTTGTCAGCACCCACAACTCTAGAAGATGTTAAGAGCTACTTCGAACAGTTTGGACCGGTAAGTAATTATTTTTAATATTTACCTACTTATGTATTATAAGTGGGACAAATTAAGAAGTAATCACCACATGCATTTGTCGACATTTTGAAGAGTCCCTTATCTTCAATATATATATATACATAATAGCAGTTTTGAAGTACAGTTTGCATACATCTATTTTCATGTAATTTTTTGTTTCAAAAGTAAAGTTTGAGTTCTTGCAAATGAACTTTTTGTGATAGTTTTTTTTTTTACTTTCTACGACTTAATAAACAGTTTTCGTTCGTCGAATTGACATTTAGAAATTAAAAGAAGGAAAAAACACTTCCGATTATATTGGTAGCTTGTATTTAAGTTATTTCTCTCGGAGTTTCCTCGCTATTCTTTTCGCAACTTGATGTTGGACTAATGAAGTAGCTTTTTGCTCCATTCGAAATTGACACCCGTGCGAACTTGTGCCTTCGATATTGGAAAGTGGAAGAAGGCGCTTACGTCAATATCTCGTTTTTACTTGCTTAAAATCAATGACAAAACTCCGGAAAAAAACGTTCCAATATCTCCAGCGTCTTTTTGTGCGATAGCGATGTCCTTCGTGAAAATCAGAATTTATCTCATCCTTTAGCGAGAAGAAAAGCGGATTTCAATGCCTCGAATAATTTTCTCAAAGCAAAATTGCGTTTGCTATTTCGTCGTTAGAATAGAAAAATATGAAACCATTTCTTTTCAATAAAATACCCACTATTTTTCATTAAAAGGGAAACCAAAGAGCCAGTTTCTAACGGTTCATATGATTAAAAAGTGGACGTACAGTGTGATTTTTTGCAATAATTTTAACGGTGAAAACTTGAGATGATTTGTAAATAATTTTATTTGGTACAAAGTTGTTTGTTGTCATAACAGTGACGTCTGCTCATCAAAATAATACATGGAGAAAATATAATTACTTAAAGGTTAAATTTATAGTTATAAATTAGCTGGGTAGTATACAGAAGGTCCAAATGTTTGGTTCGACGGAGATATGTTTAAAATTATAAGGTTACGGAAGGAAACAGAAATGAGTGTTGTCAATTTCTAATATCATAAATTGTAGGTATCTCATCTAATATACAACTAGTCTAAAAACTAACCAAGTAAGCATATTAACCACAATACATTTACCTATATTCTCTAAACATGGTAATATTACAAGTTGGTAGCAGTTTTATATACTAATCATCAACATCGTCAGTCCTAAGACTGGTTGGACACGCACATCCACTCTTTCCAATCTTCGCATTTCCCTAAAACAAGTCATATATGAAATGAAAAATAGGAAAGGCAAATCGATAGTGTATTTTATTTAATTTTTAGTGTCTTAGTTAGTATTATTTAAAATACTAAGGTAACACTAACAATAACGAATAACAATTTATATACAACAAGAACAAAACGAAAACAAGCAACAAAAAGGCACAAAGAGTGAAACAAACAAAGTGACAAAAAGAACAATATAATACAACAACAACAATAACAAAGACAACAACAAAAATGAAACAGATAATAGAAGCACTTACGAACGGTAGTAGAAGTAAACGGAAGACTGTGTAAAGATAATAAAAAACTTTAAACTTTTGGGTGTTTCATTCCCACCAGCAAGTGATGCTGGTGGGCGGGCAGTTCCTCCGGACTATGCCGGAAGGTAGGGCGGAAGGCTCTCTTCAGCCTGCTTTCAGGAATCGTGGGAATGGGTGGGTGGTGGTTCGGGTGAGAAAGTTGAGACGGACGAAATGAAGACAGAAGAGAATGAAAGATTGTCTGTGGAATATTACTGCCTCAACATTTCCCTAGGTGATACAAGGAAACCACTAAAAAACTTGGACCAAGGCAGACGGACCCGGAATCGAACCGGCGTCCTCCCGAATGCTAAGCAATGGTCTAAACCTCTAGGCCATGCCGCTCGGTGTAAAGATAAGAATTTTTGAGAGTATTTATAGGACAGGGTTGTTAGTAAATTTGATAGAATGTTCTAGAAGGAAAAGTAGTGAGAAAAGGGTGAAGACACTAGTTTGTAGGAATACGTAGAATTAAGCAGTATAGAGTTCAAGAGAAAGCAATTAAGGGTAAAACCAGATATTAGTATGGGAGTGCATGCAGGTATAGTTGAAGTTGGATTTCCAGGTAAAAGTGATTGAAAGAACAATAGTTTAGATTGAAAGGAAACCAAAGTATGTACAAGATAAAAAATTGAAATGAATTGAAATAATATTTGAAATGAAATGAATTTGAAGTAAAATAATGAAAAAGAATGCTTAAGAAATCATCATCATAAGGTCATCAGTCCTAAGACTGGTTGGACACGTACCTCCACTCTTTCCTATCCTGAGCTAAACTTCGCATTTCCCTAAAACTAGAACAACCCACGTCTTAACTATTTGCGAAGAGTAATCTAATCTAGGTCTACCTCTACCCCTCCTAACTCCTGTTTCTGCCTCTAATATGTCTCTGACTAGACCTTCTTGCCTTAGAAGGTGTCCTACCAACCTATCTCGCCTATTTTTTATTGACTTCCATGCTTAAGAAATATCTACAAAAAATATATACCTACAATTGTCCCCCACAAATTTTTTAACCTACTCGCTGGATACATCTATTCATTCGCTCCCTCTAGAATTACGGTAGAAAAATAACCGTTAAAAAGTGCCACTGTCGTAGCCTTTTGTTCGAAACATATAATACAGATATATATTCTGACCAAAGCTCAGTCGTTCTATCCAGCCAGCCGGGCAGAGCCAGAGCCAGGCCAACAACGTTGTCGAGTCCTGCCGGTCATTCCTTTGGCTCGTCCAATTAACTTAATAAAAAGGACGGCAGGGAAAATCGCTGCTTGAATTTCTAGAAGCTGACCAACCACCCGCGGAATTCTGCCTCAACAATAAACTCGAGTGCTTCTGTAACCATCTTTTCAAAACATCGACTGATGGTTACATTTCTTCGTTTTAATTAATGATTGGCACGAAATAATGAAAAGAAATAATCTTCTAGGTTGTAGTTTCAGTAAAAAAGAATGGATGTGCGTTTTTATTAACATTAAAATGTGCTCCCTAGATAATTGTTATTGTTGAAAAATTATCGCCCTGAATTTATGAAACTAAGTGCCAGGTTTAGTTTTGATCCAAATATTATTTTGTTTATAATAGTTAACATTGCTATTACATCAACGAGAAACATTGCGGAAAATTGCATAAATGATACGGAAACTTCTATAATATATCATCAACGCCTAATTAATTATCATATTTAATGTCTTGTCAATGGTCTACAGTTTCACAACTCTTAAATGGAGTTATAATCATCATCATCATCATCATAAGGTCGTCAGTCAGTCGTCAGACTGGTTGGACACGCACCTCCACTCTTTCCTATCCTGAGCTAGTCTTCGCATTTCCCTGAAACTAGAACAACTCAGCTCCTTAACTATTTACGAATAGTAATATAATCTAGGTCTACCTCTACCCCTCCTAACTCCTGTCTCTGTCTCTAATATGTCTCTGACTAGACCTTCATGCCTGAGAAGGTGTCCTACCAACCTATCTCGCCTATTTTTGGTTGACTTCTCCTCTGTTCTCCTATTCTTTCTGATTCATTTCTAACCTTCTCTATCCACGATATCCTCATCATTCGTCTGTAACACCACATTTCGAACGCTTTTGACTTTTCATTATAATAATCTGTAAAAAATTAATATTTTAAAGAACCATCAAAGGTATAACACTTTGTTTGCTATATGCTTATAGGCTTTCACGACTGGAGTATATACTATGAAGATTTTCCGGACGTGATCTAGTGGAATTTTTATTTCTTCCAGACGTTTCGTTCGAAACAACGCCGAACATTTTCAATGGAGGCGGTGGTGGTTGCTTCGTATTATTCTTCTCGGTAGTTGAGGAACGTCAGAAAGCTCAGGAGATAGTTTTTGATGGTTAAAAATCAACAAGGAGTTAAAAATTTATATTGCACGATTGAACGTGTTCGAAGTACTTACGTGACAGCTAATTCGAAATTAATTTATAAACGCCATTCCTGTTCCCTATCACCATCGACTGAGCAATTCGCGAAGGTTTAACAAAGTAATAAATTCTCGCGACAAGGTTCGGGCGAATATGCAATAAGGGTGACGTTGAAGTGCGTCAAAGTAAACGGGAGCGATGTAGTTAATCACAGGCTTACAAGAAATAGGAAGCCATTACCTGTACCCGGTTTTCCACCGTTCCGAGCCGCGTGCAGAAATACCTGACCATTTCCATGTTTTAAAACGAAGTAGGCGTGTAAAAGAAATAAGCGGCTACTAAAAATTCACCGACTTCACATGAACCTAATTATACCCAGACTGCATAATACACAACACTAATTAATCAGAAACTTACATGACAAATTAAAAGCAAAACATTCGTAATATGTTTTACATTCAACGAACAATGCGGCATGAAATTTTTTACTCGCAAACAAATTTCTTTTATTAAGTTTTTTTACAAGCTAGCTTTTATTTAACTTGCAATGTATGTAACTAATATGTTTGTTGGGCTGGAATCTTGCAGTTCAATTTTGAAGCAGATGTCTTTAACCGATTGAGCTGAAATTTTGTATACACGTTTAGCTTGGATGACAATGCATGGTTAGCTGTGTGGCGTCATTCTAAATCGAACATGGCGGAACCCCTAAACATCATCATGATCATTATAAGGTCGTCAGTCCTAAGACTGGTTAGACACGTACCTCCACTCTTTCCTATCCTGAGCTAAACTTCGCATTTCCCTGAAACTAAAACATTCTACATACTTAACTATTTGCGAACAGTAATCTATTCTAGGTCTACCTCTACCCCTCCTAACTTCTGTTTCTGCCTCTAATATGTCTCTGACTAGACTTTCATACCTGAGAAGGTGTCCTACCAAACTATCTCGCCTATTTTTTATTGACTTCCATACAGTCTTCTGTTCTCCTAATACCCCCCAATATGGGTATCAAATGAAAGAGCTTACAGAGAATAACTCGAAAAATACAGTGACATCGTGAGATTTACCTGCGTGTTTCATTTATAGCTGAATAAAGCAGCTTACATAATACCTTCAAAAGTAAGTTA